ACAAGGTTAAAAAAAACCCACCCTTTTCAATAGGTGTATCAGTTAGTTATGTGGTCTTAGGACTGAATGAGTCACAGGGCTGCTAATGGGATAAGGATAGGAAGCCTGACACTTCCAGGTCATAAGTTCAACTGAGTCTTCTCAGAGTACACTCCTGCCTTGCCCTAGATTAAAGACAAAATTAACAGTTCAGGGACAACACTGGAGAGTAGACTTTCCTACTGCTGGAGGCCACTGAAAGATCCACCTAAATTAACTTAAAGAAGAAGTCTTTGCCTAAAAGAAAGGATACAAACACTACCTTTCTGTAGCAGTGTCCTCCACTATGGCTCTCCCAGTCCGAACTGGATGGGAAAATTGGAAGGAAGAACAAAAAGTGCCCAGGTCACTACACAGCAGACCATGTATACACCACCTTCTCACTAGCTCTATAAGCACAGCACGTTGTTCTAATGCAGAACTCCACTCCTGGGAGAGAGTCCTCCACTGACAATAATAGTCAACAATAAGGCCAAAGAATCCTGTTATCTGGAGCACAGAGTCATGATTGAGGTCAAGCTCTTTATGCAGATGACTCTCCACCTACCAATTTACTGTAATTCATGCAAGTCTCCCAAAATGCACAAGCTTTCAAAATGCACAGGCCTTTCAATCTCTCCTCAATTAGAACAATCTCACCAGTGAGAGCAATTGTGGTCTAGTCACAAGAGATGCAATACACCCAAAGCACACACAACTCAAACTTCAAGGGTCTAGTTTTCATGGAATTAGCATAGATGGCTTCTTACTACTGTTCATCTTTATTTAAAAAAAGAAAAAAGAAAAAGCTAACCAGAAGAGTCTTGCTCATGGCAAAAATTCAGACCTGTATTGCAACAGTCTGCCTGTACATTGTGAAGTAAGAAGTCCAGTGCTAGTCAGACCAACGGCAAAGTGAGTAGGAGACAAAACACAAAGCAGTGAGAGAGAACACACCATGGTACCACAGGATAATACAAGAAAAGAAATTGAGGTGGGAGAGCGGGATAGAGTCAAGCATGCTGCAAAAGAGGACCAACAGAAGAGTAAACGCAGAGGGAAGCCAGAGGGCAGAGACAAAAAATAACAAGAAAAGAAAAAGAAATGAGTGGGAAGTTAAAGAAGGCAAAAGACATGAAGGGAAATAACATAACACAGATGGAAAAAAAATGAAAAGACAGAAACAGAAAAAAGATATATACAGGAAACCTATCCTGCCAGAAGCTGCTTTTTATCAAGCTCAGACAGGAGAAACTGCCATAAGTAGAGCTGAATCAAGCATAGAGAAGTTCAGATCACCTGAAACTTCTGAAAGGTGGGAGAAAGAAATTACTTGAAAATCTGAATGAAGTACTGCACTTACGTCAAATTCATCTCAGAACATACAATCCAGTTCTCTTGCTACAGGGTAGAAACAACTTCCTGTGAGAAGAACTGGGCCCACCACTTCCCATCCCATCCCAAACTGTCTGTTCCCTGTTTTTTGCTGGCCAAAGAGAACATCAACTGATTAGGGACTAAATTACTGATTAAGTAGAGTTCAAGATCAAGTTGAATAACTATTTTTAAAGCTCATTAGTCTGTATTGCATTCTTTGCAGTTCAGAGTGCATGACAGAACTGGTCCAAGCAAGGTAGAGAAGATAACATCCCTTCCTCCTTTCCTGGCACACACCAGAGAGATGTCAAGGTGTTTTAGATAAGGGAGTAAATAAACTTCCCAATACAATGCAGGACTGTAATGCCGGCAAGTAGTCAAGCACAATCCTGTCTGCTAACTTAACTCTGCACTTAGGATTTGCTTGAAATGCATTGTTTTGTAACATCCACCACTAACGCATTGCCTTTGAGGAAGAGTAAGAATGACAATGAATCCACTGTGCAAGAAAAAAGCTATAGGACACCCTCAACCCTCAGAGAACGGCAAAAAGGCAGAACAGAAATTTAAGCTCGCTTACTCAGAAAAAGAAAAGAAAGGCCAAAAAAAGAGTAATAATTCCTACAGAAAACCATATGAGTAACCACAAAGAGGGAAATTTGTATTAATAGACTGTTAGCCAAGAAAGTATCAGAAAAGCGGAGCTACATACATTATCAAATAAAGAGTCTGCTATCCTACCAAACCAGTGAGCTGACTCCAGTCTGCTGAATTTAGAGTTGCTGATACAAAGCAATCTTTTCTTGTTTCCTTAAACTTATCGTAAGTATCTCAGAGCATACCGCTAGCCATATCACAAAAACCTCAATAATCACAACTTGTATCTCAGAAAAGATGAGTGACCAACTCAGAAAATACACAATTGTTCCAGCCTTACGCTTTATCTGCACTGTTAACGTTCTAAAAACAGTCTACAGTTCCAACAACAATGGTGCAGAGCCTTCTCACAGATACCTTGAAGATATGTTAAGCCAAAATTGACTCAGTTACCCAAGACGTGGCCTATTTTCAAAAGTGCATTAATATGCAAATATTTGGTTTGTTATTTCTCTTAAGAAATATCTGTTTGACTATCAGACTATCTTGTCTGAATGTCCATCATATTTTTGGTTAATTTATCATAAAACTTAGTTTGCTCTTACTATTGCAGTGTATAACTTACTTTGTGTTGATTATATGAATTGACAATGTTCTGCATGTTGAAACACTCACGAGAAAGGGAGTTAGGGCTCCCTAACAGCTCAGCCAGCAGTTAAGTGACCAGTGTTTCACAGGTTCCTCTTACAAGTCTTGGAAACTCCATCATACAGAAGCTGTCTTCTAACATCCCATCACAAAGAAGAATACCTATTCTGCACACTAGAATAGGTTTTGGGGTTCAATATAACGATAAAGCGAAGGTGCCAAAGGTAGAATATTCCTGTTCTTCACTCCCATCTCTACCGTTGATAAAGCACTAAATGAGAGCAGTGCTGCAACCTGTACAAGGTCAACGGATGCCTGTCGCCACAGAGAAGAAAGGGTAAAGAAGAGGCTGTGGGGTTGATGGGACTGTAAACCCGGGCTGGAAAGAGAAAGGGAGATGTATCCCACTTCCGACAGCTTTTGAATTGGTTTTACTGCCAGAATGGGGTACAGTCCCCAGAAAGATCAAACTGGTAATATAAGGCTAGCAGAAGACAAGCAGGTCTACATGCAGGGCACTAAAACCCTACCAAATTTTCCTCATAAGATTTAATACTTGGGTAATACTATGATAATTTTTTGATTCTGTTTTTCAGACCAATATCACAAACCTTCTGTAGAACTTCAACAATAAGAAGAGCCAATTACCGCTGATTCCAAAACTATTTATTTCATTAGATCAGATACAAAGGAATATATGTATGTTCCCTTCATCTGGCTTAAGTCTGTCTCATTACCTGCAAGTATGTTGTAAAGATAAACCCTGTTCTTTGAGCAAGCCAAATTACTCAGAATTAACTTCAGTATAAACAAGATGCAGATTTAAACAGGAATGCGAGAGAATTTAAAAAGCCAAACTAAAAATTTTATGCACACATATTTAGATGCATTGAAGACCCTTTCTACTGAAAAAGGATAAAGATCTTTTACTAAAAAAGTATAATTTATTTTTGCTTAGACCAATCTGCCCACATTAGTTAAAAAGAAGAAAAATAAACATGGACAAAAATGTGCATTTCTTTCAAATATCAGACTTGGGCCTAACAAAACTAATGCCAAAAAAAATTTCTTTCAAAATGATTAGCCTTTGACACAAGTTACTGTTTTACCCTTTTCATGTAATGCTTTATGAAATTAGTTATTAGCGGATCTCGTGGTAGACTGACAGCTATGGAGATTTGTGACCTGAATTTCTCAGGGTGGGGGGACAAAGACTGTTGGTTGGCTAGATACACAGCTGCATAACTCATTCTTCACACTGACCTGGATTATTCTGCCTTTTGCCAGCATTTTTTGTTGTCCATATTTGCTTAATCTTGATAAACAAGAATATATAAGATGGGTCATATGCATAGAATAATTACTTTTAGAGAAATAAACAAATTTATACACCACAAAATGGACAAACATCATCATAAATAGAAGACCTCATATCAACCTATTTTTTCCAGATAAAATAACCCAAAACTACTTATATGCTAGTTTGGGATTCTGATTCTTTATTCCTTGAACTCGTCCCATCCCACAAAGTAGTCACACACAAATTTTGAGAGAGCACAGGACCACTGGACTCTTCTAGCTATTTCAAGGTAGTGTTTAGAATAAACAGTGGAACTATTACAGTGTATTACAATATTAATCTGGAGTGTGATAGTCACTATAACTATTATTAAAATACACAATTATAATACAATTATATTTCATGATACATTTTCAAGTACAACACTGCTATGCCATTTTCAGTCCAAGAAATACAGCTCTAAAAACAAAATACTTATTGAAGTACCATCTCTTTTTAAAAGATCACTTTTAATAGCAGTGACCTCTTAACATTCACATTAATGTTCCTATCACTGTAAAATGTATTAATGTAAAATTTCCCACCTTTGTCTAATACAAAAATAGTTAAATTACACCACTAAGATCCAAAAATAGATTAGGCAAGTATACTACGAAAGGTAATACCACTTCAAAAGGACTGAAACAGATGAATACAGTAATTGTAAATAAATATATTTAATCCATGTAAGTGATAGAAATTCAAAATAACATTTTTATACTGCCACATATACACACACATATATATATATTTTTATGTTCAGCATAATATTAACTCGCATTCCCTCCCAAATAATTTCATTGCTGAAAACTGTACTTTAAACACATGACACAAGGAAACATATACTAAAACTGAAAAAACATTTTATCTCAAAGTATCACTACATACCTTTTTTTTTTTTTTAAACTAAAATTACTATCCATACCTCCTTCTGCTTTCAAGTACTAGCAGCTCATAACCTGATCATCAAGATAAAACAATAACAAACATATATATAGAATAAAAATTCTGGAATACTTACCAAATTATGATTAGTTGAATTAGAATCATCTTCTGGGAATGGGATGTAAACAGCTAAGGCCACACAATTGGCAAAAATAGACAGTAGTATAAATATGTCAAATGGTCTGGAAAGTCCTGTTAAGGAATTCATCAATTTTGAATATCTACAAACTTTCAGTTCAGTTCTCTTTTCAGTTGCAACATTCATAAAAAGTAGTCTTACTTTTAAGGCAATTTTTAACTGGTAACTGTGACAACCACTTCTTCATCTCCCCTAGTTATATCACTATACTATGTTATTTCCTATTACAACGACGTTTCAATGTCCTCTACTTTTTTTAAAAAAAAGTAGAAAAGTAATACTCTTGCTGCCACAAAACACTCTCTAGTAAATTCTACAGATGAATTTAGCTAGACACTCTTAACTCAAGTTTGTGGGTCATCATAGGGGTAAGGAATACTTAGGAAGTGATGTGTTTGTTCAAAGGAGAAAAATAGTTTTAGATCTAGTTCATATAAGAAAGGGTCACAACAAATCACGACAACAATTTTCTCTGTGTGAGAACTGGAAAGTTGTATAATGCACACAGAGGAGAGTTCTGAGCCCCTCTTCCTGTCTTCGGCAGCTGGACTCCTGAAAAATTTTGGCCAGGGCAGACGAGAGTTTAGACGAGTAAACTGGGGAACAGAATATAATTACTGGCTCTGCAGCCATACAGACTGAGAGGCTATAGGCTTTCATATGAGGATGGCAGGAATTGTAGCTACATTTCTACACCCAGATCTAGATAACAGCAGTTTAAACTTGGAGATAATCTTTCGTCTTTCCAAAAAAAAAAAAATCTCTTAAAATTCACACATATGACGTTCACTTTCAGCTTATTATTAAATGAAATTAATACTTCACCCAAAGTATTTCATTATTTTCTTGTAAGCAAAAATATGGAGGTACCTGGATGAAACTATTCGTTAAGTTTGGATAGGAAGAATTGCGTCTTAGCTATGATTTTCTGACATTTTTTCCCCTCAGTTCAACACACAACTTCCATATGTATCCATAACAGCTCCATAAAAGGCTGAGGAAAGAGTACTAAAAAAACTTCATTCCCTCAGAAGCACAGTCTTGTCAGCTTAAAATACTTTTCTGAAGAAAACAATAATATGCCCCTTAAGACCTTTTAAATCCTATTTGTTGGTCTAAAAAGAATGTTTTGCCACCAGTGCTGAGTTTATATTCACAAAGCCTATCAACATCAGTGGTTGTCATGTTATGTATAAAATGAAGTTAGAAAATATATCTTAATCTGTAGTATCCTCCTGAGAAATGAACGATATCAACATGGGATTAGCAAGTTTGTTTTATGATGTGGTGCTACAGGGATAAATTCTGCCCTGAGTTATTCTATTCTAGACCCATTCTAATTTCATTTAACTGACCTTAGCCAAGGAGAGGCCAATTTACTGAAATTAGCTGGACTTATACCAGCTTAAATGAGAGCAGGATCTGTTTCACTATCTTAAATTTGTAATCGAATTAGATTCAAAGAATTGAAAAAACAAGCCCTATAAATGAGTAACACTTGCTACTGCCAGATTGGGTGTTCTGTTTAAAGTAACAGAATCAGTTTTACCTTCAGTAAATCTACTCTCTTGAACAGCTGTTTCCTATTAAAGGTATCCTGCCAAGGCTAATAGGCACACTTTTTTCTCCTCTTCCCTCATCAAAACTGTATACTTTACCTCAAAACTTTTTTGAGAATTAAATGATATACCAAATCTACATACTATTAGTTCTTCCAAAGAAATCCACATTCGTCCAGCCTACAGCCACTGAACCAAAGAAAAAGCAGTCTTTCCTCAACATACAAGGCCTGATGAACACATGCCAGTATATCTGATCTCCTATCTACAGATGTACGTGTTCCTAAATACATTTCATGGCAGATATATGTCATAGAAGTTGAGAGAGGAATACATTTCAGATACTTGCATATCCTTACAGTGAATCCTTAGCTTGTCTCCAAAGTTCCCCTACTTTTAGCACTTGGCAAATATCATTTTTGAAAGATTTCTACATCAGGCTCCCTTGTCTTAATGGTAATACACCAGATTGCCATATGGAAGATATGGGTTTGACATCTTAGGTCATCAAGGACTATTACCCAATTAACACTGCAAGACACACTTCCATCCATTCAACCATGTTGGGAAGGGCAATGAACGCAATACAAAGATTTGCTAGAACAGTATAATGTAGAAGACGATATAAGAAGGGAAGTAAAAAAAAATCCACAGGGGAAATTAAAGAAGGAAAGGGCTTTCGCAAGATGAATGTGTCAGATAGGGAGAAAGCAAGATGATGACTATTTTACAACTGTAAAATGAGTAAACAACGTAACTTTTAAAAAGGGCATACCCTGAATGTTCTCTAGAGACAAGAAAAAAAAGTTATAAATGTGAAATCCTCTTCCCCAAGAAATAAGGGACAGCTATGAGCTCTTCTCTGAGTTACCTACTTCAGTGAAATGATACTCTGCGTCATTATGACGCAGATTAAGAGGCTATCGTCAACAGGAATTTACGCAAAATTAACTACCATCAACATTAATGAGAGTTACTCACATACATGCAGGCAAACTAATACGTTGTAGCTGAGAAGCTGTAAGAGATGTTGTTAAGACAATCTCCTTGATACATTTGGAAAACACAAAAGAACAGATGATAAAAAAGAAAACTGCATCAGAGGATACTTCCATTCTACTAGACTAATGCAGGCTCTTCGTATTGGGTTGTTGAGGGATAAACAGAAAAGGGCACGGGGTGGCCGACTATTAGACGTGTTACCCTGTTTTTTGCTCTTGGCATATTGCTGGCGTTTTCTTTGGGACAGAGATCCTACAGGCTGGGTTGTGGTAGTACTCATATTTTGGGCAGCCTTTGCTTGTCTAGCAGCATCAATTGCAGCTTGCCAAGACAGAACAGTTTGCTTGGATGGTGCTGAACTGTTTGACTGAATAGTTGGTCCGTCACCAGGGAGAGGAATTCTGGTGCTACTTGCATAGTTCGCCTCTGTGAGAGAAGGAAAAAAAAAAGAAAAAAGTACTTGGTTATATTTTTTATGATAAAATATGTCATAACATTGTTGATAAAAAGATTTTAAGAAGTCTCGATGGTGTGATGCTTCCACCACAGATACTGCATAGCATGAGTATCTATGTAATTGCACAGTAAAATAAGGTTCAAGAATCAGTAGTATAAATTTAAGTTTAATCTGAGTGTCAAGACAAGTACCACAGAGAAATATCTCAAATTTTGATTCTTCCATTTAGTTCACAGTTCCAAACTGGATAGCAGCTTTCATGTCACTATACTCAAGTCTAATAGCCATACCTCCTTCTTATAACCGACTTGTTATAGCACCTGAACACTTACTATTTCCTCACTTCATTTTGATCAAAAAAGTAGTAGTTTAAAGTTCTTGCACATTTTTAATTGAGAATATTCAACACTCTTTGAAATACTACCAAAAAAAATTCCTATAAGCAACTTAAATCTTGCCCTATTCTGCATTCTCAAAGAAAAATGCATGGATGCCTCCAACAAGTGAAAATTAGATACTGTCTGGTGATAAATACACTCATAAAGTATTGGTATCTTCCACATCGCAAATTCCACGAGTGAAACCACTATAAAGAAATGCTTTTATTTATTTATTTATTTTTTACAAGGAAAAAACATATTTCACCTCCAAAACAGTTACTGAAGTTCTGTTAATCGAGATGTCAGCACAGAAGGCAAAACACCACCACCTAGCAAGGATCCTTCCTTGTAAGCCCTTTGACTAGAGCAAGAGCCTACTCCTAAATGCACCTGTAGGAAGGAGATATTCCTAAGAAAATATAAAACTTGAAGATGCCTGGGTGGGGAAAAAAATGGAGGAACGGCGCAATTACGCGAACGGGGAGTTTCAGACGGAATGACTGAAAGTTCATTCTGGTGCTACCGAGGCGGGAGAGGAAAACAACTCCCCGGCGATCGCTGCTCATCACACGTAAACGAGACACGAAGTCCCCTCGACAAAAATCACACTCCTCCTCCTCTGCATGGGGGGGGAAGTAAATAACAGAAAGAGGTACGAGCCCAGGGTATGCGTGTGCAGAGCAGAGGGAGCCTCTCCCGCGGCCCCGCTCCGCGCCTCGCCGTGTGTGAGGGCGGGAAGCGGCGCGCGGGGAACGAGGGGGCGCACTAAAATGGCTCCCGGGGCTGGCGGTGCCGGGAGGGGGTGTCACTCCCCGGTTTAGCCCACACGTTTCCCTCTGAAACCAGCAGATTTTCCGCGCAGATCTAGCAGCAGGGATGGCGAGCGGCGGAGGTGGCCATCAGAGAGCAAGCGGCACATCAACAGCTGGTCCCTGCCTAGGTTACACAAGAAGAGGAGTTCCTCCGCCGGTTACGGTTTGACACGGAGGGAAAGGTGTGAATTTAATCTCCAACATTTTTCCAAGGGAAAGATTCTTGCCTTTTTTTTTTTTTTTTTAAAAAGCAACAGCACAGACATCTCTTCCCCCCCTCCTTTCCGCCAGCCTTTTGAAATGCCATGAAACGTGGCTCGGCACAAATAAACCACCAATCTATCTGTCATCATTTTAAAATCAATACTTGAAAGTGAAACAAAGCCCGAGTGTCCGTGTTCCCCGGGGGGAACCCCTGCCCTCCAGCAGGGACAAAAATACAAACTTACTGCTAATTTCAAGAGGGAGGAATCATTTTTTTTAAAAACAACAACAACAACAATGGGGGATGTAGCGCTGCCGGAGCCTGTTTGCGAAGGAGATTAACATATAGGAGCCCCATGTGTCGTCTCTCTGCACGCTCCTGGCAGCGACGTGACGGGGAAGTGGGCTGAAAACATCGTATCCAAAGCCCTGTAATAACCCCTCACCTGCCCTCCCGCCCCCCGCCCAAGAAAGCCCCTGGGAAGCGGCATTTCCAGGCAGGTTCATCCCCAATTACACAAATAAGAGAGAAACATGCACAAAGCCATGTCCTCTCTCTGCCTCTCTCAGCCCAACCAGCTGATATTAACAGCCCTGAGGCCAGAAACAGACATGTATAAACCCGCTCCCATGTTAGTTACGCACCGAGGGCAGCATCCCTGTCGCTACTTAACCTTATCCCGTGCCCTTCCTATTCCCCGAGCCCTTTCTCCTGGTCCCTTCCTCAAGCGCAAACGCTCACCCCAAACCTACCCCATCCTCAACCCCTTCCCTAATCCTC